GTCCAATACTAAGAGAATATTGGACCGGCAATAGAGCATTTTGATTGGTTGATGTTAGTTATTGGCCCTCTGACTGCGCGAGTCGTGTAATAATGTTGGTTATGACAAGATTTCTCATTGTTGTACAGATCTTGAAAAAAACCTATTTCCTTCATCTGGGATAAGGATATTTCTTGTGAGGTTAGGAAATATATCTCTTTGTGTACTGAATAGTCATGGGCAAGAATCAGAAGTTTGTTGGAAATTGGAAAGTATGCAGTTTGCAAACCTGTTTACCTAGTAGGTACAATTTTTTAAAACTACTATGGGGTCCTAGTTTGTTGAAAATCTATCCCTTATTTAATAAGTTTTCTTAATTTCATACTTCTGATGGTTTGATTAAGTTAATGCCTGCCATTGTAAGATAGCAATAGGGTTATTGGTGAAAACTGACAAGGTGAGAAAACACCAAATCTTGTGCTCATCACTGCTACCAGCAATGATCCACTTTTAAATCCATCATGGAATTGTTTAGCCAAACCAAGAAACTGCAAGTACCTTGAGTTTTGGAGTGAAAACAAATAAAGACTATGCAACTTTGGTAACCAAAGTTGGATTGTGATTTTGTGGTTTGCTCATATGTCTTGATCATATTTTTTTTATTGGTCATTATATATTAAAAAAAGTATTTCAGGTATTCGGGGTATAGTCAAGATATACATGTAATTTATGAGAGAATGAAAAAATTTACATATCGTGTAATCAGAAAGCCATGTTTTTAGTCGCTTAATATTTGTAAATAGTATTTGATCCACACTTTAATTTTATTATTTTAATGTCATTTTGTCTTCAAATAAATTTCTTCCATGTAAAGGTGTGCAGCCCAAACAATAAATTCAAGGCCAGGAGCATTATTTTTTTTTTTTGTAGTTTCTTAAGGATCTTAAAGAGAGGATGGCTAGTATTCATTTTTTTTTTTTTTTGGCCAGCTGTGGAGACAAGTGTTTGACCCTCCAATCTCACTTCATAATCCGTGGAAGGGAGGAAACAGGCCTGCTGCTTTTCGTGAATGGGTGGTGATCATATTGTACAATGAGCGTTAAATGTTCTAGGCTGAAATACATATATTTTTTTTGTTTTGCTTCTGTTTTTTTTTTTTGGGGGGGGGGAAGGGTATAAAGCAGATCAAGACTACAAATAACATTTAAAAAAAAAGTTGAGCAAAGGCTCTGGGAAAAAAAAAACACAAGAAATTTAATAATTGAAACTCTCCTCACAGGCTCCTCAATACTGATAGGCTCAGTGCAAATAAGATGTGCACCAGCATAGCTCTACACTCAAGGCAAGATGATAGTGGGTAAATGTGACGCGTCTTTCACGAATTTGCATCCTGCATTAAGCGCGAGAAATGATTTTGTCTTTGGATAGAAAGCTTAATTATTTACACCCACTTCCCTCTGTTCTGTCGTGAAGATGTTATTATAAAACCCCACAATGGGGATTGAAGACAGCCCCCAGTATCACTTTGGACTTCTTTCATTTTCGTCCTCTATATTTGAAGCTCATAATACTGAGAAGTCACTGTTATTGTTTCAAGAGAGATCAAAGAACCTCCTAAGAAGGCCTTAACCATGGGTAAAAGTAAGGTTATTTTTAGATCACCCTTCTTTGAAGATCTTTGAAGAATCTCGTGACAACTAATCCTAGGCGTTGGTCAATTCGAGGCCTCAAAATCCTCCCACACCCGGTATTTGAAATTTTGAAGATTGGTTCGTACAGGCAAGATCAGTGACCGTGACTTTCCATTCATTGATCAGTAATTGGCTTGACCCTTAGAGCTTTATAACCTAGCTTTTTCTTCTGAGCCAGCTGCGCACGAAAGTTACCTCTTCACCTTTAAACACCTGCTTATTGAAAGGTAAAACTCCGCTTGAGAGACGTGATACTTTCGGTCCGAATTCCCCACCCCACCTAGGCAAGGTCCAAATTCCCCAACCCCCCGGAACACTCAATCCCTCACTCATGCCCTTCACGCCTGGATGGAATGTAGGGCAGCAGCGTGCTACCTCCACATCTGCTGGTCCTTTGCCATGAGCTTGATGCCTTCCCAGGTCTTCCGCATCTCCTTAATTTCTTACTCTACGGTCCGCCGCCAGGTGTTCTTGGGGCGGCCCCTCTTGCGTTTCCCTTCAGGTGTCCAGTGTAGAGCAGTTTCTGTGATAGAGGCTTCTTGGTGTCGTCTCATCAGGATCGTAGCCATTAGTTCGGTTCCACACCGTTTATTTGGGATAACATTCGGCCACAAAATGCGTGGGATACGCCGAAGGCTTTGGGCGTGAAATGTGGAGGGTTTTGATAAATCCTTCGCCGTCAAGCGCCAACATTCTGAACCATTCACAAGAATTGTCAGGACGCAGCTGTGACAGCGTAACAAAATACCTTTGGAATACCTCTTGGGTTACTGGGCTAATTCACGACAGTCTAATCTTTTGATTTAATCTGTTTCTGTATTGATGACAGCGCCGCACTTAATCGACATTTCTCATCTGTTTCCATCTTGTCGCATGCAATGAACACATTTCGCCCCGGCCCGGCAGGGTAATAACAGTAAACTGACCGTGAAGGACTAGGGGAAGGATGTGCAAGAACAAGAAAAGGAGAAATCGAAGGACACGTCATTGAACCCAGATTTAATTTCAAAGATAGTCTTATAAGAATACATTGTATTTTCTACGAGACTCACAGAAATACAGTTAAAAATTTTACTGGGCCCTCTGATGATTTAATAAATAATAGTAACATGCTGTGTATGAATTCTTTGTAATGATATTACATATTCTCTTCAGTAACAATTTCTCTTAAGAAAAATATTCGATGGCCTTTTTAATTAAGAAAATAAGATTTACATAATTTAAATTTAAAACGATATTTTCAAAATTAAAAATTCTACCTAATATCTACTGTAACACATTCAAACAATCATAAGCGTGCAAAAAAGCACAAGATAATTGAAATGCATTAAACCCAAGCTTTGCCGGTTGATTCAAATAGTTTCATACGAAAACAGCAATCCTGTGAAACTAATTAATAATTAGACCACATTTATCAATAAGATAGCGTTTCACATGGTCCTACTTATCAAAACGCGTTCGACCGTTTCCCGCATGTTTCATGCGAAAAAAGTTAGTTAAAATACCACACAATTTTTAGCTTTGTTAAACCACATATTGCACTCCAAACGCCATGCAGCAAGTAGCGAAAGGTTCCAAGCCTTCAAGGGGCAAAGCTAACCGTCTAAAATCATAAAAGAAAGGGAACGAGTAGAGTTCTTAAGCTGAAGATGAGTTTGAGATTCATGTAGACTCTTGGGACTTCACATTATGGAATACAACACACTTAGACGGATCGGTGCAGATCAGTAATGATCTCCTCTCTGAAGCAGAATCTAAAAAAAAAAAAAAAAATAATGACAATCAGTGTACGTGTTCTGACCGACGGCATTTTTGCTAGAGAAAAATGGAGCAAAGAGTACTATGACCTGTTCATGATAAGAAATAACCATGTGACCCTTACGAGGTAAAATGAAATTAAAAGGAGTATAGGAAATAAGACTGAATATTAAGGTTTTGACGGGAATGAACCCGTTGAAGACGTCTTTATTTAGCAGAAAAGCGTTGAAAAATCACCTGATTCTGGAGTAAGAGTTCTTTCTCCGACGAAATCTACAAAAAAAATTATAAAAGAGTGGGTTAAAAAGCAACAATTGCCAAATTTCCACACACAAGAAAACACTATAAACGAGTCATTATTGACGAAAAGAACAAATCTAAATTAGATGGAATGACTCGCACTTTTTTATTGGCCTGGGCATATATCCTTTGCGTTCGTGTGCCTAAAATTGCGGGATGGTCGCCTTTATGAAAGGTCACAAATAATTAACCTACTCTAATCTATCAAAACCTAGGGCCCGTTTTTCGAAAGTCCCGTTAATTTAACGGGCCCGATGCCACATTTTAAATTCAAAATTTAAAGGATAGAAAAGCAGGTTCTAGCACAGAAACTAGTCCATTTTGTTTCTTATGCTGATGGTTTTATTGCATCATATTAAAAATTTTAAAATCCCCATCTTGAATGAGAACAGAACAGCTTTACGGGCCCGTTAAGTTACTGGGACTTTCGAGAAGCGGGCCCCAGGCCCCTATTTATTTCACCCGCCCCTCTCAATGGCCGTGAACTCCGGATTGAAAGGTCCGGATAAAAACCTTGAACCAAGTATTTTTGTATGTTCTTGAACAAGACACCTTACTCTTGCAATACCTCTAGCCACCCACTGGTATGAATGGTTACTGGCGCACGGTCAGGGAAACCTGGAAAATACTTGGAAAGGGTAGGGCGGGAGAGGGGACTGTGATGGATCATCGTACCATCCAGGCCTATATGCTGTATGCAATGGAAAACGGAAAGGTTCCGGAAGTGATGGGAGTCAATCTTGAATTGAGATCGGCCTTATCTTGTCTTTTTCTTCCTTCTCTCTATGTGATTGAAGGGCGAAATACCCTACATTCCACGAGTAAGCTGATACACAGATGGTAAGTTTCATTATCCTGCCTGACGGCTAATTCAATATTTAGATTTACCTTGATCCGCAGAAAGGTTATTAAAGTAATCAATCTGCTGTTGCTTGATAAGTTCCGAGAAATACTGAAAAAAAGAAATACAACAACAACGGGCGCCAATTACTCTAAAATTCGAATTGATATAACTGAAGGTTCAAACTGCTCAGACTGGTTGTTGTTTTACTTTGAATAAGCAATGACAGAAAGTAGAAATGGAACTGTTCATGGCAAGTATTGTTTAGTTGTTCGTTGTTGTTTACTGTGCGTTTAATAGTTTCTTGTTTGTTCGCTGATGTATCTGTCTGTTTGTCCGCTCTTTCATTTGCTCGTTCATTTGTTCAGTAAAACGAACTATCCAAGTCCCTTCTTCTTTTAACATGATACAGTTGCATCACTAAACCTAATTTTCTGTTAGTTCACCTGAACTATTTTGGCATCTGAAAAATGAACTCTAAGTCTGCTCAACACCTCCGAACCATCCTGTGAAAAAGATAAAATAAAATGGAAGAAAGTCATACTTCACTGATTTGTGAAAACATACTTCCCAGTACTATGCACGGGACGCGCAATTTACAGCTAAGAACTAAAAAACTTTTTAATAGGATACTTAGATAGAGTTCGCACAAACTTAAAGAAATTATCTTCCCCCTGGGAAATGCATGGCTTTCTGCCACGGGACACAAATAAAAACCTAACATCTTTTAAATGGGTTATTCCAATTTACAGATGAAACAAAGAAAATGTATGAATGTCTCTTACAAAACAAGGATTTTTTTTTCATAGCAAGCGCACGGAAGAGGGAAGAGACTTAAAACATACACATCTGCAAGGCTGGCTATATTTTCAGTCAAAAACCTTAATCGTCACTACGAAACAACTAAATCCTCACCACATCAACGATCGCTTGTCCAGACTGCGATTGCTGATCGCTGTACAATGAGTAAAACAGAGAAGGAGTGTGAGGACAAAGTGGTAAAGTGAAAGCAGAGGTAGAAACACAGTTATCGATAGAAATTTACGACATCACTTAGGTGGAAAAGTTTCTTATGAAAATACCTCTTGCAGCAACACCACTGAAGTCCTCCAAGACAAGAAGCAAAATAATACACGTAAGCCTTGTTCGCTAGCTCCAAGAAGACGCTGAAAGAAAGAGGAACGATCGAAACCAGGGCACGAGTCAATTACGGCTGCACCTCTTACAATGTTGTGATATTAAATCAAATGATTTAAACCCAGAAGTAACATTCGATTGTGCGATGGGATCGTTCGAGTGAAAGGAGCCCTGAAAAGACTATCGTAAAAGGCAGTGACCGACGCGTCAACCACCTGAGCGGAAGTAGCCATCACAGTAAAATCTGGCACATCACAGCTTACTCTTATAGCCATACATGGCAGTGAAACTGACGATTCAGTTTCCACGAAGCAGATTTCTAAATTCCACCAATAAACAATTCCTGTTGTGATTCTGATGATGAATTATACAGAACCGTCATCGACAGCAGTCCTTTGAAGGACTACTCTCAAAAAGGAAACTTACTGTAAAAAAAAAGCCAATTTCTTGAGTCGAGAAACGATTTTTGCTTACTGCATATCTGGCTGTAATTGCATTCGACGAAAGAGAACGCATTCCCGATCCAGAATGGAGCCAGATTTTGGGGGACAAGGACCGGTCTTGAAACACCAACTTGGCCCCCCTGGCAGCAGGGGTGAAACCAAATGACTTCTGGCAAACCAAAAGCAAGGAGAGAGCTTAGAATCGAGGGTGGTTTCGTCACTCGATCGTTAGCTCGAGTTTGCTTGGCTAGTGTTTCGAACGCACTCCCTAATCTCTGATTAATCCAAGTTCCAATGATACAGTCCGTTTCAGGGAAGATCAAACACAAAATGACAAGTAAAATCAACGAGGAATCTTCGGTTATAAAAAATTTGGTTACCTATGAACAAATGCCACTAACGCTGCATTTGACTGAAAAGAGAACAAAGACGGAAAATTAATTACTTCTGTGGGTTTCACATTGTATAGAGCAAGGAAAACGAGGAGGGTGGGGATGGGACACTGCGTTTTGCGCACTAAGCAAACACAAACATCACTCACAACAAAGGTAGAAATCACTACGAGCCGTAGAGAACGAATTAAGAGCGCATTTTGATCGAGCCAGTTTGGTAAAGCTTAGAACAATGTAATCCCAACGGCAGCCAATCAAAAATGAAGAAAACATATCAAGTGGCCAAAGATGACTCAAAATAAAAACACGCAATTTACCTGAAGCAAGGGAAAAGCGCAAATAACGAAGTCGCGATTGGTTTAAATTTTGCGGTTGGCGCGACCAATCTAAGAGCAGGGTGAAGCAGACCAATGCAATGACAACTTACTTGGATTGAAAATAGCTCTGTCAAGATAAATCCCATTAAATACATTATTGCCCAGTAATATGACGGAAAATCTAAGTTTTACTTACTGGCCACGTGTTGTTAATATTGCACATTGGACGAATATAACATCCCTGTGGATACAACACAAATGGCCCTATTTATTAGTAATGAAAAAGATGTAACCAGTCTCTTATTGATTCACTACTGGCAATGTATAAACTGGAAAATGGCGGAGGCATTCGAACCACAAGGACCGCAGTAAGTGAAGTGATGGTCACGCAAGAAAAACCATCTGAAATATCGGAATAGTTTTTATCAAGGAACGAGACCGACAGATGTTGCATCTCACACTCGAAGTAATGTCACAAATCGTTAGATCTAAATCAGGCCCCGGTTGTTCAAAGGATGAACAACGCTATACACTGGATAAATCTCTATCCGGTGGATAGCGCAGTGCGTTTTGGTAACACTTATCCGCTGGATAGCGATTTATCCGTTGGATAGCGTTATCCGCCCTTTGAACAACCGGAGCCAGATCTTTATAATTCAACCTCTGCATTACTTGCTTGGAATCAGTCAGACTTACCTTCTACTGCGGCGTCACAATACGGTCTGTTTCAAGGTCGAGAATAGAAACAAACCTCTGCAATAAGTAAATATTGACAATAAGGAATTACAACTTTGATTTATGTACAGCTGTCATGTGCTCCCTTCCTAAGCCAAATAACTGGACCAATTTCAATCCAATAAACTGAATTTCAAATCCAAAAAGCTGAAAACTTGCAATGAGCGCTTAAACTTCCTGAGGGTCGAAAGCGACACTTGACCCTTTCAATCCCAGAAGTGATTAACCTATAACTTCTCCCTTTAACAATCGAAACATTATTCAGCAAACAGGTAATGAGAATTCTCAAACTTATTAAGTAGAAGTTGTTATCTTGATCTAACAGCAAATTGCTGTAACTTATTTACAAGGAAATGTGTAGTAGCTAGAGGGGTAGGCTCGATTTCTGCTGCTCTCTCGGGTCCGGTCTTTCTCGTTCCTCCCCGAGAAGAGACAGCGTGGGTTCGGGAAGGAGCGTGGGTTCGGGAAGGAGCGCGGGCTCCGGTTCCCGAACAGCGGCTGGTAATCGAGCCGACAGAGCTGAATAACGTATACGCATGCGCTAGGTTTTGCCGCGGAAACTCAGAGTCGTTGGTAGGGTTGATTTCCTATTCTGTTGCTTCGAGACGTCGTTTTCCTTGCCGCTTTTCGTTTACGGAACAACCGCAAAAACTTGGTACACCCCCTAAAAATGTTAAAAAATTAATTTTCTCCATAAAACCTCTGGAAATAGGAAAATGCCTTCAACGAAAACAGAGTTCCTCGGTTTTAAAAGTCAGCCCTTATTTTTTCCCGCTAATTTCGCTAAATTTTAGACCTAGGACACTTGGGCCCGCGTTGTTAACCGCATACCCACTGACGTAGCATTTCGTTATTCAGCTCTGCCAATCGAGCCTACTAGAGGGGGGAGTTAGCAACCAGATCTCGGGAGTTAAAAGGTTGAGAGGCCTAAAAGTGATAGAGGGAAAATCATATTTTGAATTGAATGGTCGCGAATTTGATTCTTCTTCAAGAGGGAGAAAAAGTATTTTGAACAGGCATAGATAAATCCTCTTCAGCATTTCCCTTTTCAATCAAATAATACCTGCTGTAACAACCGCACGAGTTTGACAATTAGGCAAAAGCCGATAACTCAAAACAAATGTCATTTTATTGGCACTCTTTACCTTCACAGATTTGGGAATCATGTTGAAATGTTTACTCTTTGCAAGGCCAACTAGTTTCAACCTGTTCGCGACCCACAAAAATGAATATATTTTAGAAATAAGCAATTAAAACTAAATGAAAAAACGCAACCCCTGTTACTTGCCACATCCTCATAAAGAATGTTTTGAGAAAAAAAAAAAAGACATAAAGAAACAAGGAACAAAAAAAAAAGCTTCATCGCACATATTTCTCAAAATAGCCCACTTATTACCTTACTGCTGTTCAGTAAACAAGTTAATAACACCACATGAAACACGTGTTACTTGCCATGCGAGGTCAGCAATCTGTAGAGGTTTGGTTCGCCAAGGATCCACGACCTTTCCATGACTGGAAAAAAAAAATTAGACTCCCATACAACCACATTTCAAAACTGTTCCCGCGACTTTTAAGCTAATCTTATTCGCTACCTTGAATATACACGTTTCTGAGACGAGTTAAGTACCTGGAAGAAGAATTAACTAATTCTGGGGCGCTAGGACACCAAGGTATTGACCATATGGTCGTTGTTTTAACATTTTAACATTTTAATGAACACCAGCAAAGAGAACTTTTGACCTGCCGGTGCCGTTTTGCCTAAGCTCCCCTAGTCTGATCGTTAGATTATCAAAGATAACGACTAACCTCATATTTTCAGGTACAAACATCCACAAAGCAGAGATAACAATTCGCGCGTCCCTGAGGAAGGTCATACAATGACGTACATTAAGCACCTGTCACTCCCAAGATCTCATTCTCCCTACTATCTGTCACACAATTCTTATGATGTTACTTTAGAGAATTTGGTATCTGATCAACTAATAATTCCCTAGTTGATATTTCTCTTTATTATCCAACTACAAATAACGCCATAGAAGAGTACAAATATCACGCGGTATTTGTACTTGTCTATTGTAATACCGGTTAAACTGGTTTTCTCGCATCGCGCAAGCGAAGAATTGGATTGTAGTTGCGGAAAAAAAAAGTGGCGGACAATTTCAATCATATTTCCGACGACGAAGAGTCAGAATGGCTGGCAAATATAGATCCAAGTTCATTTGATGAATCGAACGAAGAAAAACAGCTTGACGACCAGAAAATTTCTTCATTTAATGAAGAAAATAGAAACAGCAGCACAACAACGCGCCAATTCCGGTACTCTACAATAGACGAGTACAAATATCGCGTGATATTTGTACTCGTCTATGGCGTTATTTGTACTCGTCTAGGTGTAGTTGGATAATAATCAGCGATACTACACAACAAAACGTCTAATGAGATATATTTATTCTCATCACTTGTCTTCTTGATTTTGTATCGGCCTTGTAGGGAGAAATTCTGTCTTGATCAGTCTTGGGAGTGAAAGGGTTAAGCACCTGTCACTAAAGAAACTGGACTCGAATAAGCTAAATACAGGATTGCAAAGAATGACACAACTCCTTCGTGCATCGACTCAAGCGCTTCAGACAGTGTCAACAAAATTTAGTCACTAAATTTGAAAAAAAACAAACCTTTCATTTCTAGGTTCGGCAAAGACCACCACTGGTCGCCCACAAAGAAGAGCGTACAGCAAGTGAATACCAAAACTTAAGTGGTTTCGCAGGAGTATTAAATTAGAACCTGGCAGAACAAGATTGTAACATGACAGATTAACATGAACAATGACGGGTTTAAATCCTGGTGCAATATATTGTGCGTTGTGAGTGGTTCATAAATTCACTGAATTTATTAGACAGCGGTGATTACTATGTGAGTGTGCGCCACCGCGCCTAGGAATGGCTTGAAATGTCGTGTGCCACTTTGACGCCCTGCAATCCGTTCTAAAAATATATTTCTTTCTCCTTCTCAAAATAGGGTGTTTGACACCAGCAGGTAGTATGCAGGTTGTGTGTTACACAAAACTGGGTAGAGACGGCGATGGAAAGGGCAGGTACTGCGAATTCAACTAACCAAACTTGCGCATTGGTCGAACATGGGAATCAGAGCGATAAAGGAACAGGGGGCTGCCACAGGAAAGATGGAGAGAGCTGATCATTAAGAGCATAGTTGACGGGTTTTACCACCTGATCAATGCTGCGTGGGGCAGAGCAAGGCGAAAGACATGAGTCAACAGTAAGAGAGATTTAGCACCGCGTTTACGTGTATTAACGGCAAGAGTGACCGAGTGATCTCGTTTTTCCCGCCATTTTTCACGTTTGCCGGTTGTGCTTTGCCGTTTCTACGTGAAAGTAACTTGTTTCGTGTTTACCGTATACGCAAAATTTTCTTCACTTTTTCTTTCAAAGAGTGGAAGTTAATTGCCGGAAAAAGGGCACCAAAACTATTCCTTGTAAGTCAGCCATACAGGAGTACCTTCAAATCCACCATGGTGTGAGCTCACGCGAAGCTAAAGCAGTAAGAACCCCATATCCTGTGATGCTTTGTTGGTCCTTTAAAATGTTCAGTTTTTCTGTCATGCAATCTACGTTTTGTTTTTCCAATATAAAAATCCGGGCAGTCCCAACAACTAGCCTTATAGACAACCTTTGACATTTGGGAACGGTTGATTTTATCTTTGTTCGGAAAAAAGGACTTGATGCGACGAGCGCTCTGAAAAATCACCCTAAGATCAATGCAACCATAAAATTTACTAATGTAGGTCTTCCGCTTAATTTGTTTGGTAACAATTTTACTTTGCATCCCTAAAAAAGGTGAAACTAAGATTGTTTTATTTTTGGGAACTGTGGTGGTTGGATTAATCGGTCTGTTTTGCGGTCTGCTCAAAACATCATTGATGTTGTAATTTACAACTCCAGCAGGATAACCATTCCATATTTACCCTAAATTCTTGGATTTTAAAGCGGTAAGGTTCGCGCAATTTTACGTGAAACGTGAAAGGGAAAGCTGACGTGTGCCGTTTCACGTAAACGCGATACTAAATCTCTCTAATAGTGCATTCTCCAGGAGGAGAATATGACGTAAGTCAGTCAAATCCTACCAGCTGCTCTATGTTCAATGTAGAAATTAGCATGCCCTGAAATAATGTGCAGCGATCCCATGCTTTTCGATGATTCAAATAAAATCCTTTTGACGACCAAGAAAAAAATACTGATTACACATCGTTCATTTTCGTCACACATACAAGTAAAATCGCATAACACTACCTGTGTATGATGCCAATGGCTGGGAAACTTCTTCTGCAAAACACCTGAGTCGAACCATTTCGGGTCTGGAAGAAAACACATCAAGTCATATCACCAGACGATCTTTACAAATTTCACATCGGACCACACCTCGCCACTTTTTGAACAAATCTGATCTCATCCTTTTGGAAGACAAAATAAATTAACCAGGGGTATCTATGTATACACAAGGATGGAAGCATGAATTAAACATTAAGGTAAATCAAAAGTTGANGAAAATAACAAAAATTATAACATAACCAAAGTAAAGCGCGCGCTCTGATTGGTCAATTTAGCGTCCCCCATTTGCCCATGGGTGTACGCTGCTGACGTGAGCAAATGCAAAGACTATTTTTACGCGCGCGCTTGTTTTTTCTGGTCACGTAAGATTTGTTAAATAAAAGGGAACTCTTTAGCTACAATGTATCAATGTTATGTTATAAAACAAATGGTAAACACCACAGCGTACACTATTGAGTTATGGATGCACTTGGGAGGTTTGCTAAGCACTCAAGAAGCTAGAGTCGCTCTCGGCTATCGCCTCGAGCGACTCTTACGCTTCTTTCGTGCTTAGCAACCTCCTGCGTGCATCCATAACTCAATAGTGTACGCTGTGGTGTTTGCCATTTGTTAAGTAGTCCGTTCAGTTGAGTGTGAAGATTTGGTTTCTTCTTTCGGTCGTTTCTCGAGTTCGACAATGATGACATAAAGTAGTCCAAACGACAAGTTTGATTGTTTAGCCATTTGCTCCCATAAAATGATAAACAATTACCTGATGCAGGACAAGCACAAGATAATAAAGGAATTCTAACCTTGCGTTATAACGCGATCTTCTTTGAAGCAATTTTTCTTCTCCACTGCACGAGGAAGTTTGTGAGGTATCCAAGCTTTTAACTCTTCTGATCGCATTTTTTCCAAACAAGTTACTCTTCGTGCTTGCATTTCTGGAGGAAACATCCGGGATACTGACAATTGGAACTTTCTCAGTTTTCAGCGGAGATAAATTTTGACCCTGCAAAACCGGTACATCCAGGTTTTTCCTAGGTCTTTTGAGGTGACCCTTTGAATCCGACGACGTTGACAAACTCTCTAAACTTACACTCTTTCCTCTGAATTGACTAAAATGCATCCCAACGTTTGTTTCAGGGGTAACACTTGTTGTTCTACTCAGAGGAGACCCGCTCAGATTCGAAGAGGACTCGTCGCCCATTAAGGCATAATCCGAAAGAGATACAGTCTCAGCGGTCACTCTCCTGAGAGTTGTATCCGAATGAGTGGACATCGCGTCACTGCCATCCGAACGAAGAGATTCAGAGGTGCTGTAACTGTTAAACTCATTTTTTTCTCCTCCTTGCAAATCAGCATGAAATGAACATCTGAAATAAAGCGCGAGACTAAATTTCAATAGATTTCATAAGTGGTTGTAATGAGTGGTTAAATTTCGTGCAGATTGAAAAGGCAAGTGGCAACGACCAGGCGACACTGAATTGGCTTCTTGTTACATGGAAGATTTATGTGAATTCTTTGTCCTCCCGACAGAGTTTTGTCTTCGCAACACATAAGTCTGATATTAATAAAAATAGCCATCCTAATTTAACATTTTGCGACCAAGACCTCGCAAATCATGTCCTCCTAACATTTCGAACTCCTCCGCTTTGTGCCAAAATGAAGAAACAAAAAGATGAAGCAAGTAGGAAACCATTTCGACTCACGATGGTGAAAATGGTGAAAGGGGTCCATCACTTGACTTTGAGGATCCTAAGAACTCTTCCTCGACACAGGACTGAAAAGAGTCCAGGCTGTGCATACTCTCCAAGCTACCACACTAAAATAAAAATGAGGTGGAAAGTCAATAAAGGTCAACCCTCTATACCAGGACCACAGCTCACTTGGGGACCAGCTTTTGACGACTGTGAAAGGGAGGTTTTAAAAAAAAAATTCCTGCCATGAAAATACACCAATGGTGTATTTGATCCTAGTTGTCACTCTGAATTTCTTCGATAGCCATTTATTTTCAATTTCGAAATAATTTGGATATATCAACAAAGTTGAAATGGTAAATTGGCCACCGTAATGATTACAAAAGCTGACGTTTCGAGCGTTAGCCCTTCGTCTGAGCGTCAGCTTTTATAATCATTACGGTGGCCAATTTACCATTTCAACTTTGTTGATATATCCAAATTATTTCGTTACTCCCACCGACGCAGCCCCAAACAGTTTCTTTAGAAACTATCAGCCTTTATTCATTTTCAATATCGGGTGGTCACGTCTCCGTTACGTCTCCCCCCTGTCTCCCCCTGCGAGTCTGCGGGAGACAAATATGACCGCCAGTCACAAAGGATTGAGTAGAGAGCTTTCATTGTGAGAACTTAAGCTGTAGTTAGTGACAGGAACCAAATACATAGCTTAAAAGGAAGAATAAGACATTAGGTAGTAACTCGTGAATCATAATGAACAAAGAAAAAAACTCATACAGACGACTTTCTTGTAAGACACTCTTGACTTGGAGGATCTATGAAGGAGCGGCTAGTCCTACGGCTGCTCACACATTTTCTACAGTTTATACACAAAGTGGAGAAAACATGGATATCAGACTTTGAGTGACAGGTTGAGTTGAGGAAATACCCGGCGCGTTTTACTTCTATCTCCGGTTATACAGTAACTAAAAAAACAGCTAACTTTTTGTTTTTTACAAACCGGTTAATGAAAAGGTATCTAATGTATTGATTGAAGCTGAGCTGTAAGGTGTTTAACGAACACTACTAACATTGGGTAGAAGATAGTCCCCTTGGCAGACATTTTTCGGATGTCACGCAACGGCTGCGAATGAGACAAGGTAGAAGAGGATGGACGATGAAAAATATTGTTTTTTTTCCTATACTTTACACTTACCCGTGCGCTCTAGCGCTTCCTTCGCGTTTCCTCGCTTAACTATCAAAAGGCCAAATGGTTGCGGAGAGAACTTAAGCACTGTACGTTACAAACTTACACGTCAATATTGCGGAGAACGTTGCATACTACACTGCGACCAATTGTCAGAAGAGAGGGAAAGCGATCTATGATGATAGGAAACCAAAAGAAGACAATAACAACGTATTTATCATTGACACTAAAAATGGAGCCACAGTTGCTTGTAGTGGTTTTTTTTTTTTTTTTAAACATTTCACAAGGTTTGAATGCAAGATGATATAAAAAGTTAAATTTTCTTTATATAGTTGGCGGGGTCAGCCGAATGCGTCTTCTAACTAAAGCCACCGCATTATGATTGAGGGTCAGCAGCGTACAAATTACAAGGCGCGTCAACAGACTTAAGCACGGGAAAACACAGGTGAACAGGTCGCAATTGGTTTTAGTTTCGCATCTGATTGGTTGAGAAGTTGGTGTTAGTTTCCTAAACTAATGGCGGGGCTCCCATACCCATGGAATATGGTCAACCTCTTTTCGTTTGGTTGTCACCGTACGTACGTACGTGCCTTCAGATTGCACGGGTAGAGTAGTGGAGACTATCAAAACGAAGGGAGGGGTGTCTCAGGCGAGTCTTGGCAAATGCACATCTTTTATGTTATCATTAATATTACGAACTTGGGAGCTCCGCGTTTAGGCTTGGCTAAATCTATATATTAAAGTAATATTAAATCGAGCGTCGGTAGCAATCCGGAATGGTTTTGGTTTTGCTCCTTATAATTATAATAGTTTCCTTTCCTCTTATTGGTCGTTGTGATTTTACGAAAGTCAATCGATACGGGCTCTAACAGAGCGAAGTAAAGCAAAAAAATGCATTCAGTATCATCTTGGTTTTTCAGTTGATCTTGCACTAAAATGTCCCGCACAAAATCCTTTAAAAAGAGCTACCACATGCGGTGTTTTATGTAAATATCGATTAAAATGCTCACCAAGATGGCTCGTTTCCGTCTTTTCAATTAACAGTGCAGCAGTTTCTCTGCTGTAATGCTAGAAACATAAGGACAGGGAAAATATGGGGTGAGAAGTGAATCCGAGTATTTAAATGAAATGTAGTTAAAGTTTCCGTGCATTGTCAGCCCCTGGCATGCACTGTACAAGAATTCGGGTCCGCAACTGTAGCTGTAGATGGCTTCGAGTGCAAAACCATCAGTTTTAAAGGGTTCAGATTCCTTTTACAAGAAAGAAGAACCCTCTAAAAATTTACCTCAATCACACCCATGTGGCTTTGTAGCTCATTTGGTAGTAGCACCCAACTGGTATCTGGGAGGCACGGATTTTAATCTCGTTGAAGCCTGAATTTTTTCAGGCTTCTTTGCTGTAAATGCTTTAATTACAATCCACCGGCAAGGATCGTGTCTTTGTTTGTTCTTCACTTAACCCTTCACACCTTAACATCAAAATGCACATTCTCCATACTATTCTCTATACATTTCCTAAAGTGCTGACGAGGAGAATTTGTTTAACAATAGAGAGCTTCTTTAGTTGGAGATTATTTCCTTTATTCTTGTGACCGTTCTGTTTGATTTAGGGGTGATATTGTAAGGAGAAAATAGATGCTAGTCACTCTCAGGGTTTAAAGAGTTAAGTAGCCAGAAAATTATCCCCGGACCTGAGAGATTAAGTTACCACCTTAAAATGTTTCAAAAGCAAAATACGTACATTAGATTTAGTTACACTATAATGGATAATGGATGCAAGCGCTGTCATCTTTGTAATTCATAGACACATTTGTCACACTGTAAATATTGTTAAGATCATTTATACCAACGCTTATATTCAAACATCTTTTTTGCCTTAATTTATATTTATTTATGTTGTGTCCCCTAATTAGCACAGGTTTTTAACCTAAGCTAGGTTTCTTTTGACACTTTAATAAAGTTTCATCATCATCATCATCATCATCATACCTTAAAAACACAACGTAGCCTGTTAAGTCCTTCTTTTGCTCCCCACTCACACAGGTCATGTAAATGTCTGAAAGTCATAGCACACAAATAAATATTCATGACAATAAAAGCACTAGAAAATTCACCCAGACATGTTTCAGTTGGCAGTGTTTATAAATAAAAAAAAAAACAACATGGAGACTGACATACCATGTATCACGAGATTTGTCCACGTAAAACTTATTGCTAACCATGGATGACAAGGGAATTGTGTAGGGCTCAAGGGAAATTAGAAATTCTGCTACAATTTGCAGCCAGTAAAGTTGTTCTAAAATAGGGAGCAGGTTTCCCTCTGTCAAAAAATAAACTTTTATCAAGAAAATATGGTGGCCTCATTGTCATGTTGTCCCAAATCACTTTGCCCCCAGTCTGAGTGACTTCACCCCACCTGAAGTGTTGTTCCCCTCCCCCTGAAACTGAATCGAAACTAGACTAACAATGTTTGGGCCAGAAAAAGGGGGCAACGTCTGTCAACAAAAAGTTTTAAGGAGTAACAATACTTTGCACAAGCCAAACAGGTTGTGCTTTGGTCAAAACAATGATTAAAAGTCCCAATGTTAACCAAGCTCTGCATGCAGTCTCAGCTAAAAAATTACCATTTCATATCCATGAGAAAAAGAAGACAACTTATAATTTTGCCATAATGCAAGCAAAAGACAACAAGAGTGGAGTTTTCCCATGCTTTGGTAGTTTTCCCACGCTTTGGTAGTTTTCCTGTTTTTACTTTGAGTTCTCATTGGCCAGTGATGATGTTATCCTTTCTTATGATTGGCTCTTAGTAGTGATTAGACTGGTTTCGGATTTTTAACCGTGAATTAAAAACTATTGTTAGTAATGTAATACCAAATTTTCCACTCTAGCTAAGTAAAACAATCTTACCGTAACTGTTTCATGCTGTTAAGATAAGAGGGCAAACAGGATCTTAGCTTCAGCTGTGAAATGAAATAAAAACTGTGATCATTATATGAAACAAAAATAAAATCTGCTGACTCTTGCTAATGAATACCTTGCTAAGCCCTCATGTACAAATACATTCACCTGTTTACCCTAACCATTTGACTGGGTTCTGTCATGTCTGGTGAAAATAATGAGTTTGGATTCGTTAGAGTCTATTTATTTGACATTTCTTTGATCCTGATCAATTAAAGGAAGTTGTTTGTTCACAATCCATGTTTAATCCTCCAACCTAAACCAGCATGGCTTATTCCTTGTATGCACATTTAAAATTGAATTATTATATAAAAATTGAGTATCTTTCTGTAGCTCACATTTGGATTTGTTATTTTCCTTTTATTTCAAAATACCCTGTTTGTTCGTTGTTTCAATTTCACACCCTAGTATGGAGATGGTGAGGGTATAGTTGCTGTTAGTCGTATAAGTTCCATTATATAATAAGCTGCACTCACATTCAGTTCTTTGTATCCTTTCAGCAGATCTTTGATGTCTGGGAGTGAAATAGCTGTAAAATATGTAAAGTAAATCCATTCAACTTGTAAGAATCCTATCTCACACACAATTGATCAAGAATTAAAGCAGCACTAATCATGCCCATAACTAAAGTAATGAAAATGACCATCATTATGATAACTAATATTAATTTCATTTACATATATCCAGGACGTTCTCAAGGTTAAAACTTGACCTATGATTACAATTAGTTTACTCTCACTTGCAAATATGCCAACTGGCCAAAAATAATATCATCTCAGCTTAGTATATACCACAGATGTGAATGGTGCTCTTTACATTTACTGACTGAACAGGTATTAGATAGGGATCTTTTTAATGACTGAATCTTAACCAAAAGTACCTTTTCGTAATGTTGGCTTTTGGGTTGGCAACTTGTGATCACTTAATTCATGTTTTACCATACGAAAACCCTCAGCATCAGTGAAACTTCGAGTCCGTCCATCTACCAAGTCTTCAAGCCTTTTTAATTGGTGTTCAACCCTGGGGTCATTCTGTATTTTTAAAACAAGGCAACCACATCAAAAATTGCTTTCTTACTTATCCCATTATGTTAAATACAGTGGAACCTGCATTAAACAGTACCATATTAATTAAAATGGTCACCCTGTATTAAGCAGTCATGTTCACCTTTAAATGAGTCCCGATGGTCTGTTTGTATCTTCCACCTGTATTAACAGTCATTTGAAGCAGGACCACACAGTAAAACTAATTAAGAATAGTATTTCAAGAGAAATGCAATCCATGTTTGACTGACCCAAAAACAATGGTTAAGCCAGTAATATTTTTTTTAGCAAGGTTTTGTATATTAATTAAGAGACCAATGGTGGCATAAAATGACATTTTCATTGGTTTTTAATATAACCCCTATTCCTGTATTAACTGGTTCACCTGTATAAGTCACCCTGCCCTTGATTGTACAGAAAGAACAATTAAGCTTTAGAGCACTAATAACTGTACAATTATAAAAAATAGAGTCCATCCTTGAAATCCACTTACCCCTATGTGTGGTCTAAGAACTTCTATCAACTTTTTTGTTTCAGTCACTATTAACTCATATTCCACATTCATGTTCTTCTTTGATTTTCCAGCAACTTGGGAAACCTGTGGCCCAAAAGTTTCAAGAAATCTAAACATTCAAAATGATTTTGAATTGAATTGGAATGAATGGCTCACAATGTCAAATATGTGTTGCAACTAACAAACAATTAATAATTTGATAAGATTTTGATTCTCTGACACATTACCTTCCATCTCTGACCAACAAGACTGTTGGAAAAGGAATTTTCCACTGAAACAAGATAACATGCGGAACTAATTACAATTTCTTAATACACACCACCCTCAGTGAAAGATAGAGTTGTTCTTAAAAGTGTCTCAAAGGATAGAGCCTCCCAGTTAGCTCAAGGGATAGAGTGCTGGATTGTTGTGTGGGAGGTCGAGGG